AAGAGGGCACAACCAGGATGGTCCAAGTTCCTCTGGCATCTTTCTCACACCGTGTGCACACAGGCAAAAACACTATGGAGTAAGAGTTGTAAGAATATCTGTATACAGAATAACTCAACATACCATTAGAAGTTCTGGTGATACCTTTAATGGCACTCTCCAAGCATCTAGAAAGTGAAAAGGAAACAGAAATGAGTTATGAGCAGCAGAAGACACACATGCTTCTCTTCTGTCTTGCTACACATAAAATGTTACGGAACACAGGATTGGGGGACTGGAACTCTTACCCAGCAAGTTTAGGACTAGATGCTGACTAGGAGAAAGTGGATCCTGAAGGTTGAACACTGTGTATCGACTGTGCTGGATCTGCCGCAACGCCTCGAAGTTGCCCAGCAGGATGTCACAGAGCCACTGCGCGTTCACACACGGGATTCGCCACTCTTTGGCCTTCTCGTACTTCAGGCCACTGGGTCTTATTGTTCAAGGAAGAAAGAAGAAATAAAACTTAGGTTTTGATCAAATAGGTAAAAGTGATTTCTAATTATAAATCCTAAACTATCAGCAAACCTGTACTGTCTTGTTATTTATCCTAATTACAACAGAATACATACTCTGAAAACACATTTTTGCTGCATGTTAGAATACGTGGAGTCAATTAGGGGAGAATTTCTGCCTCAAATGGAAACAAACTAGACCTAGATTCTAACTCTCCCAATATTTTCAAATAGTTAGTCCTAAAAATGTTATTTCACTTATAGATGGCAAAACAGTCAACATTACTAAGAAATGTCTTTTTCTTTTCTGGCTTGTCTTCAAGAGACTATGATTTTGAAACAAAACAGTGCAGACTAAATTAAGAAACAGCATCACAAAGTTTATTACTAGAAATCACAAAAATGATTAAAGCAAACACTCCTGTAATAATTAGATGTAGCTACAATAGGGAACAGAGAATGCAAATACTGTGGAGACAAAGTACTTACTCTTTACAGATGAGAACTGTATTGCTGCGACACAGATAGCCTGTGTATTTGGCACCTGCTAGGTAGGCCATTAGTTTGAGGTCATCTCTGTCACTATCAACAAATCCAGTCACGGAGATTATCTACAAATACCAGATAGTTACAAATAACCGAAAATAGAAAAATTATTATCAGAAGTGTGTCATAAATACTGTATTTCTCTAACTTTCTGTACATGATAATGGAATATACAGTGTCGTAACTGCAGCATACAGGAACTTAAAAACAAGACTTGTAAGTTAAGCAATGATTTGCTTATATACAAAATCAAGCACGATAATGGAATATACAGTGTCGTAACTGTGGCATACAGGCACTTAAAAACAAGACTAGCAAGGTAATTAAAGGGCAGTTAAGCAATGATTTACTTATATACAAAATCAAGCGTACTAGCACTAATTCCAACTCAGGAAGAATGATTTTCCTTCTGTTGGAGAGCTTTTTCTTACTTACAAAGGCAATGAATAGAGCTTATAGCTAGTTTTCATCTCACACAGGAGTTCAGGCCTACCACCCTCATATGGATAATTGCATCTCGGTTTCTCTTTATAAGAAGAGTAACTAAAATAGGGATGTTCAGCTCTGAGAACTCAGCAAGACATTCTGGATCACTTCATGGAATGTACCATATCAACACAGGACTTTAAGCAGAGAGAACCTTTTCTTTCAGTGAAAGAGAGCATATATGTCACCAAATAAACTCTTTCTGGCTCTATTTTAATTGTGCTTATGCAGTGAAGCAAGCATTCTGTGGAAGTCAGATTTGTCTTCTTACATGTTGAGAGCAAGGCTTTCCTCCTGGTGGAAATGCCACTGGAAAATGAAGGGCTCGATGAGGTGGTACCATCTTCTTCTTCTTCAAGATTGAGTTCAGCCAATGTGCTGTAATGCATCTCTTCCTTTCTCGTAAAGCCTAACAATATATGCATAAACAGCTTTTAAAAATGGAAATATATCTGTATTTTAGACTTGATAAAATACAAAGATTTTCTTTTTACTCTTTTTTTTCTGCACTTTCACAAGCCTCTTTCACACAGCACATTCCTACAGTTTCTGTGGAATAAACCTACTACATGCATTATGGAATTTTGTTATACTATAAACTGCAAATGATACCAAGAGTGTGCACCATGAAAAATTCTGATTTTATATTCTAAGATCTATATTATAATCTGCAATCTAAGCACAAAATGTTCTGCAAACCCTTACCTTTGCAACAACAAAGTGAGTACATGCATGTGCATGTGCACAAGTTACTAGTCTGCTTACCTGAGCATACATGTTACTGACTTGGCTTTCACAAAGAAGATGTGTACATCTGCTTGTAAGGGTAGGGTCCACTGTCCCACCATGTGCTTGAATGATCTGGTGAGAAAATAAAGCTAAGACTTCTAGCATTTATAACAACTTTAAATTGCCCTAAGAAACAAACAATAGATTTTCATTTCAGACTGTTGAAGAGACAGCCACTGTTATCATTGCTTCATGGGAGAGAGAGCCTTGAAAAAGGTTAGATGGCTTGAAACCATTTGGGGAGGAAGAAAATAATAAGAAATCTAATATACAGATATATATTTAAACTTTTCATTATGTTAAGGAAAGTCCAACTTTTAAAGAAGTAAGAAAAAGAAATATGAATATACAAAAACAAACCTTCTCACACTTTTTTATTTTAACATTAGCTCAGGAACGACTAAATTCAACCTCAGCAATAAACACAAACGCTTCTAGAAATGTCAGTGGCTTATTTGATTATGCAAAATTGTAGGGTAAATTCAACTACAAAATTCACGAGAAGTTTCTGAAGAACAAAGACCTCTCATTTAGGAAAGAACACAATCAGATTTTTCTGAAAAACAGAAGTTGGGAAAAGAAAAAAAGAAAAAAAGCCACTAGTCCCTCTATCTTATTCCCTTCATTCAGGTGGATACTTCACAGCCTACCTAAATGCTAACATTTATGCAAAAAGGGATCTTTTCTTATTTATCCAATGAAGTTAAACACAGCAACACTGGTTTACATTTGCTGCATTACAGCTGCATGATTAAAAGCATAAATAATTGGGAAACAGTTAAGGCTAGAAACTGTAAGCTAATGTTCTGACTACAAACTGCAACTAGACTTTATATCTGAAGAATTTTGAGTATTTTTTTTTCTGATCAACTGCACTTGAATAATGTTATTGAGGCCATAATGCAAACATTACACATCTGACACAAAAAAAATTTCACTCATAGCATTAAATAAATCCATTCATTTCCTTTGGAAGAACAGCAGAATCTTACCCGTTTCCAGGTCGCTAACAGCTGCTTATCAGACATCTGCTCCGGGTAATCAGCAATTGCAAACACACAACCCAGTAGGAAATATTCTTCTGGAACTGGAATAGTTTGGCACATAAGAAAAACAGAAAATTAAATGCTTACAGATCTGAAGAAAGTATTTCCTGAAGTATTTCCTACTCTAATCTTTCCTATTATCAGGTTATGGACTATATTCAATTTTAAAGAACATTTTTCTTGGAGAAAAACCTCAAAAATTCCTCAAAAATTCAAAAGCTGACCCATGACACCTGAGACCCAGGGATGAGGCATTTTGCTATTCTGTTGTTGTTGGAGGGAAGGGATAAGAAGAGAGAGAACAAACAGGCAGCAGAAGAAAAACAAAT